AGAGATTTTTATGTTTACAAAGATAAATCTCATATTTATGACTAATACTATAATGATTGAAAAATTTTGATAAATAATCATAATCAAGAAATCTTATTTTGAAATCTTATTTTTCTTTGACTTGATTAGTAAAAGGTGAATTATAGACATCACAATGATTGATGGTTTCTTTAATAAGTAAATTAGTCTTTTTTACAAAAACAAGTTTAATTTTTTTACAACAAGGACAAGTATTAAATCTATAATTTTGTTTACTTGATTCTAAATATTTTTACAATGCAGACTTTGAAAAAATATACAAAACTTTATTATCATTTTTTTTTAATTACATAAATTTTCTCTTCTTTATCAATGAAAAAGTCATGTTGCTCATTCTAATATTTGTCAAAATATTCAATTGGAACTTGTAAAGTTGCTAACTTTACAATAAGTTGTTTAGTATTTTCATTACATATTTTTAATTTATACAACAAAAAATCTAATTGGTTTGAAACTAATTAGATTATAAATTTATTTAATTAATAATTTTAATATTACATCTGTGTAAATCAAAAGAACATTTGTTTTTTAATTTAATGTTTGACATTTTACTTCAGTATAAAGTAATTCAAGTAAATATTCTCTGCTAACTTTATTAACAATGTTCTTGTCTTTATCAAGAACAAATTTATATTCTTTTAAAAAAGGTCTATGCTCTTTATTAAGAAAAGCATTTTGTTTATCACTCAACTTGATTTGAGTATATTCAGTTATATGTTTATTATCATCAGGATATATAATTGGTCTTTGATAGTTTGTTTTTTCATTTTTTATAAACTACCAAAATTGTTCCTTTTTATTTAAAACAACAGCATTTGTGTTAGTTGAAACTTGAGTCTTAGTTTCAGAGTTATTTGAAGATTGTGACATTTTTAAACAACAGAACTTTATACTAAGAAAAATCTAATCAGTCTAAACTGATTAAATTTACATAAAAAGAATCTAATTAGTTATAAAACTGATTAGATTCTTTTTAAACAATTTTCTAGCTCTCAGCCAGAAAATTGTATAAATTTATGCCTTTCTTATTTTTTTGGATAATGCTCTGTATTTTTTCATTCTTTAGAGAAGAAACAAGCTTTTTTTTTCTTAGAAACTTTAAAATTAAAACAAATGCCTATTGCTCAATGCTACTGTATTTTCCCAAAATTAAGCTACCTTTTTTTAGGAGATTTTGAATACAAGAAACAGTAAGTAGCTTATTTTTGGGAGTTATAGCTTTTAAAATAACTTAAATATAACACAAGGGATAGCTTATTTTCGGGATTTATAGTTTTTAAAAGTAATTTAATTTAACAAAGTAGCTTATTTTGGGAATACAAACTTTAGCATTAAAGATCCTCAGGTTTACTATCTTTTAAAGGTTAAATGAGTTTTTGCTACATATAGTGAGTTATCTACGAGTATTCATAATTTATTATATATGCTCTAACAACAATAGAATATTGATATCTAATACATATAGCTGATTCTTTAGGGG